TACAGATTATTAAAAAAGTTAAATGAAAGAGACAACAATGACACATGCATAAATGTGCAATCCACGTACTTTTAAAATATAGCTAAGCGCTGGCTTCGTTACTTTTTTCTGTACAGTTTGTTTTGGGTTCTTATAAAGTCTATGAATAAGATAATATAGTGCCCTTTACAGTTTTACAAATAAGCCTGTTGAATTTATATATTAAAATACAGCATGGTTAAGAAAAAGAGCACTTACATATTAACCCTCAGATAAAGTGAGCCCGTAGACTTTAATAAAAAATTAAACGAAGCTCTATCTTTCAGTTTACTTTATATGTCCTTTTTCGTAAGTTACCAGCTCCGCTTATGTGGTTAATAATAAAATTTATCAAAGTAGCTTTTATATAATAGCTGTACGTACCCATCTCATAGCTTTGTAGGTTGCTTGCATACTGCAAATGATCTAGCCCCCCTCGCCTTAGTTTCTTTAAACGTATTATTAGTTGTGGCGACCATGCATTTTCTAAACTGTCCTTGATCGTACTTGCTTTTCAGCACTTAAATAATTTTTAAGGCATACTACTAAGTTAAGAGTCTGGTTCTGTTACCTTCTTTAGGTGTTAATCGTCTTTGGCTTTATGTACTTTAATTTTCTTTTTTTCACTTCTATTGCTCTCGGTTTCTGGTTTCTCTTTCTATTTAAAGGTCTTGGCATAAGTTTTTATCCCGCTTGTGCCCAGCTTAAGCTTACTTATGTCTTTAATCTATACTTATAAAAAGTTTATGAGATTAACTTCCTATTATTAATTAAAACATATCATGTAATGTATTAGGAGTTATAAAAAAGTAAAACAAAAGTATATAAACAAAATTTGTATATAAAAAATATGCCAAAAAATGGTATGATAACAAATAATATAATAAGGCTTGTCTGCTGCTTTTATTTATTTATTATTTATTGAAATACTCCAGTCTATATGCATAGCACATCTTTGTTGCTTAATCCTTATCCCCCTCTTAAACTCTAAGAGAAGTAAAGAAGGATATACTCCCCCTTCAATGTTGCTTACCAGCCCATGGGCAAATTATAAGAAGAAAGAAGTACACAGAAACAACCAAACAAAAAAAATAGATTTTATTATCAAAAATTATTAGAATAAAATACGTTAAGAAATAAGATCGGTAAATAATAACTATAATTATAATAATAAAATAATTTAAGTGATAATATATAATATACTACGGTACGCTTTTATTCTTATATGTATTAATTGAATTAAAATAATACTTAAGTCTATCAAGCATATTAGGAATAGCAGTTTATATGTATTCTGCCCCTATTATATAGGGATAATTTATCATTAAATAATAATAATAATAGTAAAGTGTAAATTAACCTATATTACAAATGAGTAAACGACAAATAGTTAGGGAGGTAAACCAATGCTCAAAGGAAGCGATCGTAATATGTGTTTAGGTCTTTCGAACCTTTTATACTGGTCTGGGTTATAACTAACTGCAGTGGCTAATGAAATATTGGTTTGTCCACTCTATTCTTTATAACATTTAGTTGCAAATTGTAAGAACAAAGTTTTGATTGTTTTCATTTGGCGGCCACAATGTAACTGAGCATTACGTATGAACCATGGAGCATAAGTAATTATTTTGAGGAGTTTGTTTTGATAAATCTGCAGTCTATTTATTTGAACGCTCAGAGTAGACCAACAAACGGAAGCATACACCATAATTGGGCGAATAATGGATTTATATAGAAGCACCTTGTTTAGGTGTTATTGCGGCGCCTACATATGAATGGGTATAGGGCATTCTTATCAGCGTTCAATTTCCTGACATACTACATGAGCGTACCACGTTAATTTATGATCTATAATGACTCCTAAGTACTTAACACGAGAGCTCCACGGAATAGCAGTTTTAAATATATATAGAGTTTGGAGTTTTTAAATATTAACTTTCTACTCTTGAAATTATCATTGCTTTCGCCCCTAGAAGCTTATCTTCCATGATTAAACTGGGTTTCCAGAGTGTACAAATAAAGTTGTAAGTGTTTAAGAGTCAGGAGAGCCGTCGATTTAAAGCCGCAGGATATAGCTGTGTCGTCCGCACATGGGGTAGTGATATGGTAGTTGAGCTGGGGGCGTTTACCGTATAAATTGCTAATAAAAGCAGTGATAAGATTCAGCCTTGAGGGGCTTCTGCTTTTGTGGTAACAGCTTTGTGGTATTTATAATAAAAAATTGGATTCGAATAACCAATCAAAATTAGTTTTCATCACCAACTAAGTTCCCCTTTCCATTAGATTAGTTATAAAAAAAACCTTTTTTAGTAATTCTTTTTTTGCAAACTGTTATACGTAGTTGAGAGTAGCCGTCCGAGGGCACGAACCTAATTAATGATTTAAGGAATTTCTGAGCTTTGTGCTCTTTATTTTTTTTTTTTTCCGTTGTGGTGCTCAGTTTGTAAGGTGGGAAGCGTTGTGCTACTCATGTGGTTCAAGAGCAATCAAATAAATTATACAGCTCTTTTTACTTTCTACTAACTCTGTTTGATTTTCTTTGTTATATTATTGAGAACATTACTCTCAACCTGTATATAATTTATTAGTTCTTAAAGTTATCAAGGCTGTAAGATAATACTAAATAAAAACGGATTCGAAGAACCAATCAATATCGGTATCCCAACCGATGAAAATCCTTTTTCTGTTAACTGAATTAGTTTTTAATTTAGTTTTGTAGTTATTTTCTTGTTGTAATGAATGTAATATATGATGATCAAGAGGTTAATACCGTTCTTTTTGCTTTAAACCATATTTTTAAAGATAAAATGAACCAAAATTCCCGTAAACTTTACAATTTGTTAAAATTTTTAAATTCTAGAGCTAGTATAAAACATGTGTGGTAAGCGCTCCTTCCTATGGTTTGGGTTAACTGGCCAATTTCTAACCGGTCTTCAGGTAGATTGGTGTCTCGTAACTGCGGTCTTCTCTTCTGGTGGTGGTTTTTAGCAGTTTATCATACATGAAGTTAAATGGCGAAAGCCCGGCCCAATATTTTCCGCTTTTCTCTGGTTCCCTGGAACAGCCATTACAACTTCAAAAGGGCACACCGTGTGCACTTGTGCCCTGACCCCTCTTGAAGTGGGGGCTGCATATAAAGCGGGATAAGTTCTTTTAAAGACCGGTCGTTTAATGCTAGTGCCAAAATAAATATTGTGGTCTGTCCATTATTTTACTCTAGCGTTTTTAATTCTCTCTTAATGCTGGGCAGGGCTTTGCGCTTTTTTTGTTGTAGTTTGATGTTTTGGTCTAAAGGGCCAGAGATATTATTTATGTGATAGTTTTAGTCTGAGGGCTAGATCTTATATAACCAAAAGGCCCTGTGAGTGTTTAAGTCAAAATAAGTAAAAAAAAGCTTAGTTAAATTTCTAAAGATTAAATATTTAAAAAAATTGGAAAATCTTGATTTTGAGCTAATTTTTTTTTTCTTCTTAAAATTCGTGGTTCATCAATTTAAAACTTATTAAAACAGAAAGAAAAAGGTAAAAGTACATATCAGGCCTTTTGACTTGAAGATTAGCCTGATAGTACATATAAGCGCCAGGCGTATTATTTTGTATGTTTAATCCTAGATTGAGGACGCCAGGGAAGAAATTTATCTATAATTCTTTTCCGCCCAGCCATACCTTGAATATAATTTTTAAAGTTGACTGCGGCGGAGGTATAGGGGATCTGTAGATAGTCCATAAAAAAAATCTTAATTGCACCCGCTCTTTAGCGCCACTTTTGTTAATTTAAGAAAGGGTCTCATATTAATTAAATATTTGCTACCAAACATTTTTATATACAATTCTAAATTTGTTGATGATTCTTGCGGTGACGGTTAGAGATAGAGAAAAAGCAGGTTGACTTTCAAGGATATAGTGATAGGGTACGATTTTTCCGGTTGCCAACAGTGTTGATGCCGATAATAGTGATGAGTAATATATTGAAAATTAGTGGGAAAACTTTCTTTTGGAAGAAATGAAAGAAGAAATGAGTTTCCTTATACAAAGGCAAAAAAGACAAAGTAAAAAAATATTTAAACCACACAATAATACACAAAAATTAAGGTTAGACTTTTTTAAAAACTATTTCCTCGAAGGCAGTTAACGACTATTTCTTTTTTGTTAGTGTTTACTGTTAATTCTACATCAACAAATAGCAAAAAGTAAACTAATTGATTATATAAATTAACATATAATAATTTGCACTTAATAAGTATTTCTTACAATATATAGAAAGAGGTTACTTCAAAATAAATAACTAGATGGGCACCCTTATTTCGAAAATTAATTTTTTTTTTTTGTAAGAAAAGAAAAACCTATTAATACATATTTTATCACAATGAAGCAAATAATCGCTTTCAACTAAAGCTCATAAAAGTTTTATAAATACTTCGTTTAATATAAGAACTATTTTAATTAACACCTTTTGGAAAACAAATAAAATAATTTATGCGAATTTTATTAAATCTCTTTTAATCTGAGTGCGAAGAAAATAGCTTGAAGGTACTGAACACGAATCGATCTTGAGCTACGTAGCTTCCTTGATTCGTTTATAATATACAGACAATATATATAAATAGCTTTTTGAACGGCTATTAATAGGACGCTTGAGTTCACGCTACTCCGATTTACAAATACTTTGACTGGAGTCAGAACTTCTATGAGTACAAAATATGTCTACCCACGGTTTCGAAATAAGGATTGCGTTAAAAAGTGTGTGGCACCGTTTAGACTATTTGTAAATTAAGGACTTAGAGTTTTGGAAAAAGGAAAATTTCTTTTTGAGCGGGACCCAAATGTTAATAAATTTAAATTTACATATTTCAGCTCTGCAAAATAGATTAACATCGAGTGTTTTTATCTTAATTTTTTTATCTTAATTTCTCTCGGTAGCAGTGAAACAGAAAAAAAACTTCATTATACACAATAAAGTTAATATATAACATCTTGAACAGTACTTAACAGTGCTTTATTAAAAAATTATAGTTTTTGATTACTCGTGAGCTTCACCAGGTTCTCCAGAGATCTACAAGAAAAGTTTGTTAAAAAATAAAGCGTTATTATAATTTTAAAAAATACAAACTGAGTTGAAGCAACCCAAAACTAATATAAAAAGCACTCATAATAAAAAAGGTACAAGCAAGTAAGCAATTCATATAGAGCTTTAAAAAACTTAATAAATACAAAAGTAGTTACCTTTGAACTAAAAAAATAATCTAAAATAATAATCTACACCAGAAATAAATAAGAGAATTAGAATTATATACTCTTCTGAAGGCTTTCATGTTTGTGGCAGAAACGGGAGAGCCAATCAGACGAAGATAACGAATGACAGTTGTCTCGCAGTCTCCTTCGTTGCTTTGAATAAAAAACTAAATTGTTCACGTGGAAATGGTAGAAAGTAAAGAAAAAAAGATGTTAAAACAAGGAAATAGTAACTAAAAATAAAAATTAATAAAACGGAAATAAAAGAGACACGAAGAAGTAAAGAGAAACATTAAAAACTTACGACAATCTTGTTAACGTTCTGATATTTGACAAACTGGAGCTGCACAAGAGAGACGGACGAATCGGAAACCTTCAAGGACAACTCCTGCGTGGCTTGCGCCGTCTTAGCAGCAGCTATGAACACTAGCATGCAACGCCGGAAGAGTAGAAAGGGAACCTCGCACTCGTCAAAGTCGGGAACAAAAGGCGGATTGACAAACACTCTGACCAATGACGGCGCTTGGCCTGGACATCCACGTGGTTCAGAGAGCGCAAGGAAAGTAAGTCAAGGAGAGCAACAATAAAGACCCACCGTTGGCCGGCGCACGCACATCGATAGAGTGGAGTTTGACGGGCTGCACGAAAGGAATGGAGAGGATCAGCTGGAAAAAAAACGGTGAACTTTTCCATTAATAACAAGAATACAACATGAAATTTATACACGTGACATAGCGAAGAACAGTTAACAAATACTAGTCTACGTTGGCCAGCTAAGTAACAGCAGCTTTTAAGTTGAAAAATTACGTAAAATAAAACATGGAGCAAGCAACCACTGAATCAAACAACTTTCAATATACAAATAAATAATTTGCTAAAAATATTAATTTTAACAAAAAATCTCTTAAAACCCATTTCGTGGTATAATAATAATAAAGAAGACTTTGAACATATATTAACCTGCTCGTCGGCGTCGCTTTCCAAATAAGACCCGTCATCTTTTAATAAAGCTAAATGTAAAAGAGCAATAGATATTAAACAAGTATATTAAAAGTTCCTTTTGTGATTGAAACAACTTTCTTATATAAAAATTTGTTATAATATAAATTTAAAACACAATTTATATTGAATAAAAACTTAAAAAAGTCTAGCAGAGTTCTTAAAAGAGCTCATGAAATCAACTAGAATAGTCATATAACTTTTAGAATCAACCGGAAACGGGATGTCCTTCCCGTTGATTCAAACACTCCATGTTCTTTTTATCAATAAAGTCTAACAAGTCGCCCTTAACAAAAAAAAAAATTACAAACTGTATTGGACATGTCTTGTTAATAGCAAAATATCCTAGAAGAGAGCAGAATAACAAAACAAACATAGCCTGGCACAACATCAACAACGTCGTCCTGAAATGTGGTTATACTTTTAATTAAGCGATTTTTGTCGGCTCCTAAATAATAATAAAGTTATATATAAAATTCCAGTTTTATTTAATAGTTAAATGCTAAAACGGCTTACAAAACTAACCCGAAAAAAAATCAACCTTCTTTCCATTTTTTATAAAAATAAATGTTGGTACGCTGCTAACACTGTAACAACGAGTAGTTTCCTAGGAAAAATATGTCAAATAAATAAGTACTTAAAAAATTACTCATTCATTAACTAATTTAAAATAAAATGAAGTTATTGATACACGTTCTATATACTTACTTATCTTATATATTAAAGACTCAGATAATGGTAAGAACCTTGCACATGTCGATATCAACTTTTAAAAATAAGCAAGAGCTATAAAATTTAGATGAAAGCTCCAAAAAAACAGGAGAAAAAGATCTGCATGGCCCACACCTCCATTTAAATTTGAAAAGTAAAAAAACTATTATTATCTTTTAGAAAATATATATAATATAAAACTTACCAAGTGGCATAAAAATCTACAACAACCTATAAAAAGAAGGTTAAAAATTTTTTATAAACATTGTAAAAATTAATAATAAAAAAGGTATTATCGCGTAGATATCTCAGAAGTTAAATAATGCATAAAAAAAAAGTTTAAGTCTACGCAGCTATACTATTAGTGATATATATAGTATTATGTGTGCTCTGTGCGGATATTTAAGAAAGTCAGTAAAGTCGTACAAAAGCGTTATTAATTAATTGAATAAATATTTTAGGATATCAGATCCGAAAAATAGAAAAACATTTTAAAAAACTAATGAAGTTGAGTCTCACAAGTTTGTTGCCTGCCGAGCCCACTAAAGCAGAGAATTCTGCATCACTTGAAACAGACCGGACGGACATCACCCAAGCTTTCGTAACCGTTATTAAGGGCGTAGACCCTTTCGGTAGATAATTCGTAAATTAATTAACCACAAGACATCCACTTACTAGAGTAATTCTCTTGGGTGAAAAAGGCAATACTTAAAGATTTAAATGCTGTCTCAAAGTAAGTTAAAAATTAGAGGCCAAGAAACTATAAAGCTTTTTGTCGCCAATATAAAAAACTAGACAATTTTGCTTAAAGAGTTGCCGGCCTGTCAACAAGTTAAATACGTCCATAATCATAACGACCTTGGGAATTGTAGCAAGAGTGGCTGTAGTGTTTATTTGCTCTTGTGCCTACCTAAACTGTTATGTACTAGTCCCCTTAAACAAATGACCAGTGCCTGCAAGCGTAAAGGTTATACAGCAACAATGAAGTCTTCTTATAATTTTTATTTATGTTATTTCGTTGCTTACTGAAATTGAAGACTACCTTTCTTGGGATGATTATTTTATAAGTGTCGCATTTCTCTCCTCAATGCGATCGAAGGATCCACATACCCAAGGTTTTAGGATAAGCTTTGTTGTTGCCACAGTTTTTCAAAATATAGCTAAAGCTTAGTTTTTATACGCCGAGCCAAATCTCGTACAATACTTAACTCATTTTAGCTAATTTTTTTTCCAGTAAAGTTTACTTGAGCTAAATTTATAATTTAAAGTGGGCGCCTGTATTGTGAATCCTGAAAATAAAATTGTGGGTATTGGCTATAACGGAATGCCGAATGGGTAACAAAACTTATTATTCACAACTTTTTTAAGCTAATTTATTGATACCGTATTGTATAGTAATATGTTTAATAATTCTGTAATTTTACTACTGGGCCCCAGAAACTATAGGATTAGATATTGCTGAATTTATCAAATATATATAAGTTATAAGTTAGAAATATAATGTTTAATACTTAACAGGTATGAAAAAAAAATATGGCACCCTTAGTTTTTCTTATTTTTTTTATAAACGCGAAATTGTGAATAACAGGTGCAGCGACGATGTACTCCCCTGGAGCCAAGAAGGTCCTTTTTTAGAAACAAAGTAAAGTTGTGTATATATAAAAGTTAGAAAATAACCAAACACTCTGAGTAAAAGTAACCTGAATCCTATCCTTGAAGGTTATAATAGTTGTTTTGCAACATTGTTATTGGGTTGGCCTACGCGGCTGCTTCTGAACTATTTCAGCCATATTAGTGAGGCCAAGGGAAGTGCCATAATAAATTTCGTTTTGAGTAGAAACATAGTTGCCCGTTTGACTGAGTTAGTTGGTGCAGTATCCTATCTGAAAAAGCTCTCGTCCACACATACTGTTAATTAGTACTACAACCCTTATACTTTCTATAGATATCCCTACGTGTGTCACGCAGAACTGAACGCCATACTCAACAAGAACAGCGCTAGTGTGAAAGGCTGTCGCATGTACGTGGGGGACTTTCCTTGCAACGGTCTGTTAATTTAAAGTAGCTTAAATAGCGGTTGTTAATTCTCTAACGAGAAAGAGTGCTGCAAGTTGATCATCCAAGCGGGCTTAGTGGAAGTCGTCTACAATAAGGACACATCACCGAAGCATCCACCGTACGTCGCTGCCAGGCGTCTGCTTGAACTGGCCGGTGTCTCCTACAGGTCTTTTTCTTATCGCGCTAAGTTTCTGCTTTGCTCGAGCCCCTCGCCGGCCTTCACAGGCAGTACACTCCCACCGTTCCCCACGTGAATATCGTGTTTGCCAAGGCATCCCAGTGATAAGCCCATAGTCTTGGTATCTTTAGCAATACTTCGCGCTTTTTATTATTATTCACACTATGGTAGAATGTAATTCGACGTGCTACGTGAACTTTTTCTTTTAGAGAATCTTATCAAGTTAACTCAATCTTGGCGCGGAAAATATTATCATTGAAAAAATAAATTTATTATTTTTTTTACTTTTCCTATTAAGGGCTATTCCATTCAAGGAGGGATTTAAAGTTGATTATTTAAATTTTATTTCTTGCTTATACGGAACTGCCTTTATATATCATCTTTCTAAGTACAAATAGGTTTTTCGTGATAATAAATAAAAGTATGTTATTGAGTGATTCTTAAACACTGGACTAGAGTGACGTATTTCTTAAATTACATAAGTTATTTTTCTGCTTCTTGAGTCAGTCTGCACGCCAAACTAATAAGCCCTTTTGATTGGCACCTTCTCACTAATTTTTTTAAGCCTCCACTGGTACGGATTTACGCCAATCTTTTTTTTTCCCACCTTTCGTTAGTTTGACGGCATGAGACCCCTGCCTTGATCCCTTCGTTCACTAATAACGCCGTCCCTAATAGCGTGGAGTCCCTGTTTTCCTGGTTCAGGTCGAAAACTTATTTCACAAGATTGAGAAAAATATTTGCAAAATACCCAACAAAGAAAATAGAGCCTTTATCTTCCAGCACATTTAAGAAGGGGTAAGCCGTATAGTATACAAAATCAAGGTTCACGGGGCCATTAAGAAGAGTACAAGTCATTTATTGCAATCCACTACCAAGCAGAAGAGTACGGTTTTAAACAAAAACGTTCTATACGTAACTAGAGAAGTAAATTGTAAAATAGTCGCAGATTGTATCCTACTCGATTTTAAAAAAGAAGGCATATGGCAACGTTTGACGTTTATGTTTCGGGTCGTACAGGGAAGAGCACTTAGATTGTGTTTTTCTTCAGTGTTTTTTTCACTCCAAATGGCAGACTTACCTAAAACAATAATCTTAATAAAAAATATCAATTTTGGGAAATTCCTTTATTAAGGCTTCTGCTTTAGTACATTCACGTCTTATTTCTTCTTTTTCGAGGTAGCCGAATGGCATAAAAAGTTAAAGTTAAATTTTGTGGCTAAGTGAAAAGGTTTCTTAGCAGGAAGAAGGCACCAGACAATTTCCTCGAACTTATGGAGAAATCTACTTCATGTTACTGCGTTTACTAACCCTCTGGGGTTCAGTAGTGCGGCTCAACGGCACAGGGCTTGAAGTCCAAAACATCCAAAAAGTTATAGACTATTAGGCGAATATATTTTTTAAAAATGGAATTACATAAAAATCTCCAGGATAAAAGGTCAGTTTCCTCCTTTCTGATTTTGCTAAATGGCCAATGACTTAATTTTTCCTAACAACAACTAACGGAGTTACGACATGTTAGCCTCAAATTTGGTTCGACTTTCAACATCAGAGGAAGCATGTTAATTACGTTCCATTATTTAGATAACTAAAATAAAAGTATTACAGTATAATTAAGCATAGGAGTACACGTTGTGTTAGCGAGTTTTGCTTCAAAGAATTTTGTCGTTATGACGAGCGCCAATTTCATAAAAGTCACTATATAACGGTGTCAGCTGCTCTAATGGCCTTAGCTTTGTAATACGCCTCATCTTCTTAAGCAACCGAGGAGTTTGTAGTAATGAATAACATGGTGAGTATTATTATATAATTTTACATAAGTTTGCCGAATTGAACGTTTTTACAATTTTTTATGCAACAAACCATAATTAAGCATTGTTTTTATCTCTGTTTAATGTAGTTGCTTTATATAAAAGAGCGTTTTCCTTTAAATGTTTCTGAAATACCATGGTGTTTTAGTGCTTGTCCCTTAATCCCCTTGAGTAAGACTATATATATATGTAACAGTTATTTTCTTAGTTCTGAAATATAATTTTAATAAAGTAAGGTAGCAAGAGTATATAGTAACTTTAGCCAAAACAACGAAAGGCAGACAGGAAGTAAGGGCAACTTTACTGTAGGTTTCTTATTACACGAATATGTATGTATATAGATTATTAAAGGGATTTTTCTTTCAAATTTAGTAGTTATTTTTAAATTATGTTTGTGAATTAAAAGTAGATCTTCCTGTCGTGTCTTCTCTTTCTAAGCTCTTTGAAAGCAACCAAAGTTTTGAGAACTTTCTAAGTATGTACAGTAGCTTATATACCATGATGCTTCGCGTACTCCCTATATCAAACACCTAAAAAAAAAAGAATTTATGTTTTTTGTAAAAGTTTGTAAAGGAAGAACAATTTTAGGTGGTCATAATTAGGCTAGGGTATCGAAACCACTTCTGGTTTCTAAAAACAGCGTGAATTTTTAATAAAATCCGAAGTCTAGTAGTTATGTTTACCATATATTTTAAAGTAACTATAGACTTTTAAAATAGCAGGTTTACTTTACCTTAGCGAGCTGATAGGTCTGATTAACGAAATACGAGAAAAACTTTCCAAGAGCACCCCCCCCCCCGCCTTCACCCCCTTAGCTTAGGGTTGAGATTAAGATTAGGATTTAAGTAATACTCAGTTTCTAATTCCACCTTGGGTTATTTAATTAACTAAAATGCTTAAATAAATATAAGTAACTATAAATAGCTTTGTTAATAGCATTGATAACTTCGAAATATCCCTGGCGAGAGAGCTCAAAGAAAGGATGTTTTATTGGTGGCATAATAACATAATCACGCCTTATACAAAAAAAAAAGTATGATAAAGGTGGAAAGGGAAATCTGGTATGTGTCATTACCGAGAGAAGCAATATATACTAATTATTAACTTGAAAAGGGGTTAAGGGTCTAACGTAGTGTTTAAGCACAAACTGTAAAGGAGAAAGATGACTTTCTTTTGCTGTTTTCTTACACTTAAAATTGGATTTCTATTTAAATTTGAAGTTACATGAACCTCAGCCGTTCATTACAGTTATAATAGTGAGCCAATTTTTTTAGTGATAATTACAGTTGCCCAAAAGAATATATAAAGGCATAAAAATAATTAATTCTAACATACAGCAATAAGTCGTTAAATGGATGAGGCAAAACTTCACCAAATGTTAGCGAGGTTGATAAGTAGCACTTCAAGAATATTTATAAATGCTGAAATTAGCAAAGATTATCGCAGGCTATACACTACGTAAAGTTCTATGCTAGCCGGAAGAGGTCCTAAGAGAATTAGGATACCAGTAGCTTTATTGATATACATAATTCTTGTTAGGCAAGGTGGAGCGTGCGGGGTAACAGTTTATACATTATAGATATGAAACGCTTTGGGTCGTCCGCCTGAGGGATCGAAACATGTGGCCAACACGACTATTTAAGGGAGATTCGTTGGTTGTACAGTTATTTTGTTATTCCACTTGCACTCTCGAGTGGCTACTGCATCCTCCCGTCAGTCAGTGCGTACACGTGGTACTGAGAGCCCACATTACGGTGGTGGACTTCGAAGATGTAGGCGCAGCAAAACATGATCTTATTGGTATTAACTTCCGTCACCAACTGTGCATAATATATAGAACACGATAGAGAAAGACACAAGTGGAAGTGGGACACCTGCAGCAGGGAAAGATTTTCAAGGACAGAGTTCATCATCTCCAGGTTTGGTAGCGTCTTCAGTTTATTAATAAAGTTCACCAAGTAAGTGCACAGTGGCTGTGTGGGGAAGTTGTAGATATAGGTATGCGCAAGATTGTTATAGTACGGTCGCTCCGGATGCTACGGACAGGCAATGAATTAGTTGAAAAGTGAGTTATAGTAAACGAGTTACCGTTATTGTTTCTGCGATATCTTTACCAAATGAATATACTTTGTTAACGCACCTCAGTTCTACGAGTTCTGGGCCCTTCCAGCACAATAGGACTTTTTTTATTAAAAAAGGAGGAGCAGGCAGAGGAGACCTCAAATTGGTAACTTATGAAGTAGTTGTCTGGAGCATCAGCGAGTGGAAGGTCGGCCCACACCTTCACTAGAAAGAAGGACTCTCGTGGCCCGTAATTGAACAACTCGACTATTTATACGATACCGTATAAGTACGAGCCCAAAGGGGACACGTGGAGAGCGCCTTACCAAGCCCAGGAAATTTATCAAGGATCTGCCAAATGTCAATGCGCTCCGATTCCGGCTGCTCGAAGGACTGGAATCCGGAAATATGAACTATCGGGAAAATGTTCTGAAAAAGCGCGCAGTCACAACCCGTCATGTGCAAGAAAAATGGAAAGCGGCACCCTATTGCCGTCCCAGTAGCTTTCTTTAAAGGCAAGCAGGTTGGTCATGTAAAACTGGCGAAGACCGCCGCCTTTAAGCGGGTACTGATAGCCGCTGTTCGGCTCTATGTAGTCCCCCGGAAAAGCAGGAGTCGGCGTCCTGGATGAATATGTCAGACCAGATTGCCTGCAGGCCAGTAGACACAGAAAACCTTTCCTCAAAGCGTTGGGAAGGCTTTGGCTTCGACAGTGGAAAGGTATACGCCGCACCCGTGCGGGCGTCGAGATTTAGATGCTGTGCATTCTGGTGAGTGGGCGTCGAAAAGTTCATGGTGGCGCTGACTATTTGAGCAGATGACATGCTTGCTAGGCTTTCCAGAGCATTCTTCCTGGTTTCTGCTTCCGTATTACAGAGCGCATAGTTAACTATTTTAGAATTAAAAAACCTTCATCACAACTTTTTAGTTTTGAGGACAACTCCCTCTGCTTTTTGCGGGCTAAAACTTGTATGTGGCTAGACACCTGATATTGTTAAAGCAAAGATTAAAACTGACGGACGCATACGACGTTAAATGAAGCACTTAGTAGAGCGGCTAACACAAAAAATCAAAATTGAAAAACCTGCTTTCTAGTTCTGTGTTTTCCAGTTCTTAGTTTAATGTATCGAGCAATTAACTCGTTTCGTCCTTTGCATTAAAAAAGTAGTCAAAAAAAAGTAAATACGCAAAAACTAAGATATGTGACACCATAACTAATTAAAAAAATAAAATTAAATTATTAAAATTTTTAATCAAATAACAAGAAACATGACGGAAAAGCTCGGCCGAATTTTCTCACCATACATTTTCCCCTCCTCCGATAAAATAATTTTTCTTCTTCCACAAGGCGGATATATCCTTAAAGCTTCCTAGTTTATATAATAAACTGTATTAATAAAAAGGCGTCACGCCCTTATGATTACTAATTATATATAGCAGCTCTTAAAGGTAAGTTAGAAGCACAGGTGGAAATCGTTTAATGATGATATTTATATATACTTCAAAAGCGTCTTCAATGTCTTTCGACCAGACACTATCGTCATCTTGATAGCTCATCGCCAGAGTCATATATAGGCCGAAAAAGAGCGAACAAGACGAAAGAAAAGAGCAGAGGGACAAAAAAGGCGGTTGCTATCGACAAAAAAGCACACCCGACTGGTATTCCTAAGGGGAATGCAATTTTTATAGCCATCAGCAAAAATTAAACAGTAGAGGATGGAAATTTTCAGAAAAAATTTAAGAAACCCACTAATTAGCTTAAAAATACATACTTATAAATATTTTGTATTGCAGAAAAACCAACCAAGAAACTATTTAATATAATTATTATTTCTACATACATATCATTCCCTACTTGGTGAGATAATCGTGAAATAATATGTTGCTTAAAGGGGCTCGGTGATATAATAATTTTTAGCCACACCTAACGTAAAATCTTTTTAACAGTTAAACATTTTAACTATTTGTTTTAACTTGTTATTTACTATTCTTGCAATTATATTATTAAGGCTGTTGATTTAAATAATATTTTTTTTATTGAAGTAGATATATAAAAAATAGATAACCATTTAGAATTTTAAAGTACTTTATTCTGGAAAAGTACTTCTTTTATTATTTTTTTTAACGCATTTTATATAATACGAAGTATGTAGAAGAACAATCTTAGTTATAAACTGCTAGAAATTAACTTGATTACAGAAAGTTAAATAAGCGGTTATATAATTTAATTATATTAAACTACAAGCATAGCTTTTAAGGGATAACTAAATATTAATAAATACTACTCAGCTGAAACATTGATAATACTATTCAGCAGGGTTTGGGATAATTCTTAAACTTTACACAGCTTTGGGGATTTTTTTTCTCACATTTCATTTCGCTATCGAATAAATAATAATATGACGCATATTATTAAAGTAATTTAAGGATTTATTATATGCAATATAACCTAAAAAACAGTATTGAGGCTACCTTATAACATAAATCCCTCTAGGATACTAACAACTCTTGCTGTAGTGTTAAAACAATATATATCCTATTGGCGTACCTAAACATTTATAAAATTACTCCTTGTGAATATACAAGGGCAAACTTTAGAAACTAATGATAACCTATTTGTACTTTTAACATCACCCAAGGAACAGCACTTTATATAGTCTTCCTTGGCTTTGTATTTAACCAGCCTTCACCTTCTAAAGTTTTATGTAGTACTATCGCTTGAACTAATGTCATTATTTTTAAGGAGGCGGGTAAACTTTACACATTTTTAAATTGTTCATTTCACTTACAATGTATAGAAACGAATCCGACTTTTAACATAGTGGCAAAATTTCGTTTCATTTGAAATGTAAAATCGGTTTTTGCGTACAAAAACCCTTTTGTTTCTAAGTGGGCTAAAAGAAAGGAACCCAAACTAAACAATTATATGTATATACGGTTACTTTAATTATTTACAAACCTTTACGTAGTGAATATGGTACCTGTTGAAGCTCTGTGTTGTGAGCTGAACGTGTACTTAGGAGAGTTCTAAAGTTGCAATAAATAGCTAACTATATATATATATATATATATATATATATATAAACTCTTCTTTTATAGTAAAATTTACCCTTTCTTGCACTCAAATTCTTGAGCTCCAACCCCCTAGCCGTCATAAGCATGTGGTGTTATTAAAGTAATAATTATTTTAATTTAAACAACCATTGTTGTGTTCCTAGACTAAATTAATTTTCCTGATTAAACATTTCTAATATAAGCAACACCATTACCTAAGTAGAAAAATAACCTATAAAAAAGACTTGTTTAAGGAGAAAGTTAAACTTTATTAACTAAACTTTGTATTGCCGCATATACATATATACGAGCAAATATCACTATTTTTTAAAAAAAAATTCTTCTTGACGATTACCCATATATTAACTTCGGTTAATATATTCATTAATCCAGTAGTATAATGGCTTGTTATATATTAATATAATAGCACATTGTCTTTACCCTCTCTATGTAAGTGTCCAACTCAAATAATATATGATACCTAATCCTTTTTATAGAGGTCGTCCACTTTGAGGCTGCTGGGAAACTAAAAGATGTAGGAGCTAATTACTCCAGTTCGAGGCCAGCTACCTCTGTTAATTTAATTTATATGCTACAATGATATTTTACTGAAATAAATGTTAAAGTGAATCACGTAATAAGACAGCAGGGTTTCTATGTCTTAATAAATGAATTCTGCTCTTTTTAAGCGGCCGTCCATTTTTCGAAATAATGGAAAAGCTAATTATGAGAATAAGATATGCCGAACTTCAGTTGCCTTATAACGTTATATTAACCATGTATACGTTTTCTTTAAGCTAATTTTTGAGTTTGTTCAAGTAGCACACCAACTTAATAAAAACTTTATGTAACCAAAGATACCTCCAGCTTACTATTACAACCTTGAAAAATGATAACGAAACAAGCATGATATATTTTGGAAATATCCGAGTACAGGGGGTGAGAGTTATGGGTTAGCGTGAATGGTTTAAAGGTCACATAGAATATGCGGTTTATTTTTGTCTTCTTCCCTTTCCTTCTGGGAACGAGTTATCCATTGTGTGCGGACTGCATCTTTTGTGTATATAGTAATATACCAGTTTAATAAACAATATATATTTTTCATTGTGTTAAGCAATATATAGTATAATTATATAGGTCACTTGCTGTACAGTGCTATCACTAAGAACATAACAAAATACCACAAAAATTGTGTAAAAAGATTAGAACCAATTTTGATTTTATTTCTTAGTTTAAAAGGAGAACAGTAGCGGGAGATTGAGGTATGCGTGTTTTTATAATAAGTCCATGAAGCTTTAATTAGTAGTGTTTGACCATATATCCTTTTTTGCTTTTGTGATTAATTAAATTGTATTACGGCTAGATTTAATGACTAAACAAAATGAATTAAAATGAGAAATAAAAGTAATGGAAAGGTGAAGGCTACAGGGGCCCTTGTTTTTTATAATATAATGATTATATTAAACGACTAAGCCGAGCAACAGCTTATACTCCTAAGCCGCAGCTCAAACGGAGCATTTGCTATTCACCATGTTCTTTTCGGTTTTATGTCAGGTCATAGTGTAGACAAAAGATAAGTGACTAATAAAAGTACGATAAAAATGTTTTGACATTGAGAAAAAATGTATATATTATTTACTAAACCACCCCAGTAGGCACAGTTCCGCACACAACGGGTGACAAGATTAGAGGAGAAAAGCGAAATTCTGCGTCCTCCATGTGATCTTTAAATTTTTCCGTTATGCCTAAGTCCCACTCTCCGAAAGTTACACGAGTCATTTGCATTTGCGGATACCACTGTCTCAACACTTGGCTTATAAAAATAGTAATTTATGTAAAAATACATAAAAATTAACAAAGAACGAAAAGACCCTGTTCAGTTTTATCCTTAGAGTAAATAGCGATTCCGAGTAATTGAGGTAATACGAAAAGGCTCTGCGAGCTAATTGTATAGACGAGACAACTTACTCAGAAAGGAGTTGAGAGGGAAGCTACCCTGTTCTTGGTTTAATGACGCCATTTAATTTAAGTTTTTCAATAAAAATAAAAAGTTTAGTTAAGTAAGTGCAATAATTCTCTCTTCTGCTTTCTATAGGTTTATGTTTGAAAACCAATTGGTTTTTATTATTTTATTATAAAAAAAAAATTAATATTTAATTAGTAACCTTTATAATATGTTAAATCTTTATTACTAACTAATTTATGCTGGTAAATAGCGATAGAGTCCTATGTTGGTACAGTATACACCAAAAAGGAGGAATTCAATATTTACGTTTGCTATTACAGACGAACGCTAGGCTTTTAAAAATTACACAACATTCCTGAAACGCTCTTAACTCCATTCTTTCCTACCAATCCGATAACTACTATATTTTAAACGGTAATTATTTCCATCTATATAGGTAACTGAAGCCAATTTTCGTTGAGAAAATATAATCATTCTCTTATACACTTTACTATTACTTTCTTCTTACCTTTTATAAATTAACTTCTTTTAGCTTATAATAGTATTCTAGTCTATTCTGAGTTCAGCTTTTGTCTACAGCCCTTTACTAGGGTTAATCTTTTTCACCAACTTCAATAATCTCACTGGAGTACTTATTTAAAACTTAGTTTCCTTAGTTTTAAAATTTTATCTATTCTAACTTTGTTACTATTTGTCACTGTCTATGGTTATATCTCCATCGTCATATAATTTCGTCCGCGTTCAGTCGTAACAGGTGTTCTTTATTTCGCGTTCGCAGTTTAATATATAACAAAAAATATATACATATTGGATTTGTGAGGTTAAGGTTAATTTCAAAAACCTTTTAACGCGAGCCCCACCATCAAATTTACAAATTTTAAACATAAGGACAAGATAACTAAAAGTTGTTCATTTCTTTCTTGTGTTAATTCCTTGTGATACCAAGCATAGTCGATTATCTTTTTTTTAAGTTAATAATGATTTCAATAGTATTTATAGGCCTTCTTTTAGGTGCAAGGTTTGTACACACACACTATCTAATTACGTAGACAAAATATAATAAAAAAATTTAGTACAGTAAATATATATTACATTTTATTAATTTCCCTAGCCTAGCAAAGCTACTAAGCAAGTTGCAGGCCTCCGCACAACCACGTCACAAAAGAAAATTATTACAAAACTTTTTTTTATTTATAGCACTTGCTTACTACTAGCGTAATTTTAAATCCATTGCTGCTTAATCTACTTTCCCTCTACTAATTAGGGGCGCGGTGTTAGACTTCCTTAACAAATTAACGCCTTCAACTGGAACGAATGCGTTTTATCATTACAGCTATATAATATATATCAGAAAAGACGTAATAACAAATGGTAACAATATTCCATGTAATTGAATATTTAAGTTTCAATACCTTTATTTTATTAAAAAAAATTGTGTTAATTTAACAGAAAATATACAATTTTAACCATATTTCCCCTCTTATAGAGCTAGGAATTATTCGGCCTGTGGTACTTGATGAGCCTGCCTAATTAGTACGTTGTGGTGTCTGAAATTTAAAAAGATATT